GAATGGCAATAGTCAAGTAATGGTTATTGTGGATCGTTTCTCTAAGTATGCCATGTTTATTCCCCTACCCGCAGAAGCACGAACTGAACTTGTTATCCAGAAGTTTTAGATGCGATGGGTGACTGAGTATGGTTTTCCTCTCTCCATTGTATCTGACCGTGATGCCAGGTTCACGAGTATGCCATGGCAAAAGTTGATGGAAGCTAAGGTACACGTTTGACCATGTCGTCAGGGCGACACCCTGAAATGAATGGACAAAGTGAACAGATGAACCGTTTGTGCCAGCAACTTCTGCGCATGTATGTGAGACCCGATCAGATTGATTGGGATGAGAACTTACCCAAGATAGCAAGTGCATACAATAGTAGTGTTCATACCGCTACAGGGCGAACACCTAATGCATTGCATAAGGGGTGGAAACCTAAGCGTCCCATTGATGTGCTGACAAGGGACCAATTCCTCAGGTTACCTCCAGGGACCCGGGAATATGCAGTATTGTTTCAAGAGGACATTAAAAAAGTAAAGGATAATCTAAAGTAAAGGATAATCTAAATAAGCATCACCGGCCTTCGACATTCCAGGTAGGTGATCTCGTTTGGGTGAAGTCCAAAGAGTTTTCACTAGAAGAAGATGTGTCTCAGAAACTTCTGCCTGTCTATTTTGGACCCTGGGAAGTTCTTAAAATAATTGGGGATGCAGAGGGACCGTCTTACCGAATTGATATTCCCCCTCACCTCAAAACATATCCTGTCTTTCACGCGTCCAAATTGCTACCTTATGTAGAAGGAAATGAATTCCCACATAGACCATCTATGATTCCGCCAGACATGGACGGCGGATATGAAGTGGACAGAATCATAGAGCATGGGTACTTTTCTACAGGTTCACGTGGACGACCTCAGAAGCAGTTCAAGGTACGTTTCAAGTCTCAAGCACCATCCGAGGACAGATGGTTTAGTAAACGAGAACTACTTGAAACTGCTCCTGATATTGTCGCTGCTTATGAACGAGGGTTAAGGTCTTAAATATTTCTGCGGTGGAACTCGAAAATGAGCCGGCAGGAATGCAGTAACCCTGTTCGGAAGTAGCCTGGGGCTCAGAACTCAGCCCCAGGAAATGCAGATCTGAGTTGGTCTACGTTGGGCTGTGTGACCAAGACACGCCCAGGCCTGAGTTTGTCGAGTGTGGCTGTGTGACCGAACGCTCCACACAAGAAATTCAAGAGTCAAAGTCAACTGTAGAGTCAAAGGTACCGCACCCAGCCCCTTGGTTGGATACACTCACTTGTTGTGCGCAGGTACGCGGACAGCATCCAGGGCGGAGGGAATTCGGTTTCAGGCCAATCTGGGCCCTCATTCGCATTGAGATCTGGACGGCTGAGGGATACAGCATCCGGG